CTAAGATCCAACATAAGGGTTTACATTAGGGTTTCGCTCACCGCCCGCAATCTGCCGCTGACGTAAGCCACTTACATAAGCTCATACCCTACTTAGTGCAACCGCTTACCCCAAGTCTGTCCCCTAAGCGTTTGGCACAATCCAGTTCTTTCCATTTCTCCGCTCCAGCCATCGACCACTTCTCTTCATCACAACAACAACCATCAGTGCTGGTGGGAAACACTCTTGTTGCATCTCAGTTTTCTACTTCCTTCGCGATTTAGTAGGGAATACCACTTACATCTTCCCGTCCCGCCTGACCGCCTTCCTGTTTACTAGGGGTTCTTCTCACTGTGTGTTGTGGTCATTGTTTTGGGTTCGATATCTATGGCGCGGTCGCGGTCGCGCCAGGTGGAAGGACCACCTTCCACCCCATTATATTCTTCATCCCTGCCGCTGATGAAGGAAGGGTTGAATGGACATGGCTTGAGTTCCGGTGCTTTTGGTCAAGTTCTCAGGAAAACAACAAGTCCCGTGACCCGGAGAGTGACCAGGAGTCAGAGTCGGGAGCTGGGGCATCGTCGTCGACCGCTACTTGATGATGAGGACGACGCTGATCATCATTTGGATAATGATGATGATGATGTTGCGGCTACCTCAGGCAAGAAGGGGCATGCAACCGGTGAGTGAATGGCTTTTTTTTCCATTTCTCTTCACCTTACTCTGTATATCAATGTGGAGGGTGTGTGGTGGTTGTTGTTGTTGTTTGTGTGGGATGGTCGGTTGTCTTTGTTTGTCGTATTCATGCCGGTTCTCCTTTGTTCTGCCTTGGGCCTGTCCCGACCCTCCTGTGTGACCCTTAAGCTCACTGTCTTTTCGCTTTGTCAGCCCTTGCTGTTGTCGTCGAGGAATCCCCTCAAAAGTCGTCGCCTCTGAAGCCGATGGCTTCGCGACCTGAAACTCAGAATCAGGTCATCCCTGAAACACCAGATGATGAGATCAATATCTCCGGGACCACTATCTTACCCTCGGAGCCGGACTTGGACCTTGACCCGGGAAAGATGATTGAGGCTTTCCCCAAGTTATGGGATGCGGCCGAGGATATGCTCGAGTTCTCGGTGCCCAGCCCTTTCGAATTGCTCGAGTTTACCAAATTGCTTCAGAAGCTGAATGATCCCCAAAGTTTGGAAAGCTGGCGGCTGGCTCGACAGACGTCCAACCTCAGAGAGGAAGCTAGGTACTTCGGAAGTCAGCCGTACATTGACGTCGAGCTGGTTGATGACATTTTCAAATCATCGGCAACAGTGGCTGAGAAGCTCCATGAGCTTGAGGGCCAGTGGGATCCAGCCCCAGCCTTGCAAAAAGCTAATTGTGCGCGGTTTGTGCTCGAGGTACTTCTGTGCGAACCCGAATCAACTTCATCTCTAAAGCAGGCGATCCGGATTCTTGACAGCATATTTCCTTTGCCTTTCACAACCAGGCTCGTACCAGCGGGCCAGAGAAGATCTGCGGGTGATAGTCTGTTGGAAAAGGAGACCTTTGATCTCGCTCTAGAACTGCGTACCCAGTACACGATCATGCAGCTGGAGGAGAAGTATCAAAATGATCCGGATTTTGAGCCTTCCAGAGTGCTGGAAGAGGGCTTCTGCATTGAGCTGGCGAATGAAGAGGGTTTAGTTCTCCGAGGCTTCGAAACTGAGGCGCTGAGGGGTCCTAACGGAGAAATCCCACCAGGGCTTGCAGCTGAGGTGGCGTATCGCTACCAGGAAATGGAGGCTCTTTGCTTGGTGGAAGACATCATCGACATTGAGGGGCTCAAGAAAAACTACGGATGGCGGAAGTTCGTCCTACGCGCTGCCCAATGGGTCTGTAAACGGACCGACGAGATCAATGCCGATATGCGACGACCATTACAAACTTATAAGGATGTTAAAAAGGCGTTCTTTGCCAGACCTAAGACGCGCTATAGTCTGGGCAGCACATTTTCTTCGACCCCTAGGATGCGAAACTCCGGAACGCCGTCAACTGCCCGGCATCCGACGCAGTCTATTCCAGGGACTGCCACGACATCGAGATATGCTGTTGTTACGCCCTCACTGGCTCGAAATGGCTCGCGAAATATCCCTGGCAGTGTGGTCTCGGCACGAAGTACGCGCTATAGTGCCACTCCTTCCAGCCTTAGGAATGAGTACCATACTATACCCGAAACTCAACCGGTGGGCAGAAATCCTCATTGGGAGTCGGGGGAGTCCGCAAGTCCCGAGGCCCGCAGATCAATGCAGTTAGAATCTCCTGTTAGACCGTCTGCAAGATCCCTGCAGAGGACTACTGGATCTCCTGTCGAGCACGATCTTAGTCGGACTCTCGTGAGCCCAGAGGTTCAGAGACAATTGCAGCCGGAGCTGCCTACACCACGGTCTGGAAGTATGGAGCAGGCTGAAGGTGTGAATGGCTCCGATACGCTGCGCGTTGAACAGCAAGCCAGAGCGCCGGAAAGAGCTACCCCAAACCCTGCTGAACCTGCTAGGTCTTCGACACGCGCAGAGCCCGCGCCTGTCACTACTAGACCGGAGAAAAGTGTCAGTGATACTGTCGAAACGACCCGGGCTAGCAACAACATTCCGCCAAACTCATTCAAGAAGCCTCCGTCGGTCGATGGAGAACGGAGGAAGTCCCTCAAATCCAAGCCGTGAGTCTTCCTTCTGCTGTTTGTGTTGTCCTTGTTCTAACGTCCTGAAGAGTGTTTCTGAATGCAACCGCCATGGATCGATTGCGGCAACGAGAACTGCAGCTCAGCGCTGCACCCAAAAATCCCGGAACTCCCCGGCAGACGGAGCCTCTCCAGCCAACAAACCGTTCCGCGAGGCAGCAGTTCACCTCAGAAAAAAGCTCTGAAAATCGCCAGGTAGAGCGCCCGAGGGCAAACACACGGGAACCGGCCCCTGAGGAACCGTCCGAAATCCCAGCATCGCCCGATATGACGTCTACATTTGTTCAAGACGAGGTCGAAATCGAGGTGACCGATGGCCAACTAGACATTGGTGAGCATGGGGAGTCTCAGTTGGAGAGGTCTCATAGTCCCTCGTTTGTTCGCAGCTCCCGTCCATCGTCCCTTCGAGAGGAGGCATTGCAGCAATCTAGGCACGGTCAAGGAAAAGACACGAATAATGATGTCAGTCAGGTATCAAACGTGTCTCACGAAGAAATCCCACGGTCTGGGGCTGCGCCTCGCGACTCACGTGTCATGTTTATTGACCGACAGACTAATGCCGCACGTGTGTCCCCTATTAGTCAGGGACTGGATCCTCGAAGCGTCGAGCGTCGGCGCAACGAGACATCCCGCAAGCGTGGGCGAGAACCCGATGAGATTCCTGAAAGCGATGCTGAGTTCGAGCACGACGACCGCGAGGTATCCGTAGAGCGCCAACGAGCCAGAAAGCCGATCCAGCCACGCAGCAAACGTGCCCGTCGAGAAAATCAAACAGAAAATGCGACGGAGCGCTCGAGCAATCGTGCTCAAGAGATACACTCTAGTCCACTTAGACGGTCGACTCGATCCGCTCAATCGGTTTCACCACATCCACCATCCGCCTCGGCCCCTTCCACGCAGAAAAATAAACCAGGTCGGCGGCCTACGGTGCGCTGGGAGCCTGGGCAATCAAAACGACTAAAGAGGCTTATTGATGAGCATGGACAGGACTGTCTAAGGGGCACCCATTTCGACTGGAAAAAAATCAGAAAACATGACGCAATCGAGCCTCTGCAGCCAGGTGAAAAAAGGTTTACTGACAAAGATGAGGGGCAGGTCAAAGACAGAGCACGGAATATCAAGAATTACCACATAAAGTACGCGAAGCCACTGAGTCGCTTGTTAATGTTTATGGGCTAATGGCGCACAGGAATGGTATACCACTTCCCCCTGGCTGGGAGGGCGTCACCGCCAGTGCATCAATTTTTGATCAAAGAAAGCAGCCGTAGGACTTTGGCTTGAATCACATTGAGCCGTTGAGATGTTGCGGCCATTGGAGTGGCTTGTGCAGTCATCTGGCCGTGTGGATCATGATTTATGATTTATTCCTAGTATCCTTTCGATGTCTCCATTCTTCTCGGGTCTTGTTACTGCGGTGCGCAATTCAATAGGGTTGGTCAAGGTCGGAATGCGACTAGCCTTTTGGTTATTGGAGACTATGTCTTCCTAATCTTCTTTCGGGCCTTATATGGTAGCGCGCATACCAATATGTCTTCTAATCTATGACTACTGTAGTAGTTTTCACACAGCAGGGAGCATATTGTGAGGACAATACTGATGGGGACCAACGTACCACGCCAGTCAGAAACGCAAGTTGCGGCGTTGGTGTCATTCGATCTCGCCGCTGAGGCTGTGGTCGTAGGTGGATGAAGTAGTCCTCTGAGGTAGTGCCCTCCATCGAGGTGGTCACTCCGGTGGCTCTGCCTACCGACGGCTACTGACATCCTTTTGCCTCCGATCCAAAGGCCCCCCCTGTCCGAGTAGATCACATCCCGTGCTGTAGGCTCGGCAATATGCCGTGAGTGTACAGGTCAGTATTTGGCATAGGGGTGTTTCCAATTGTGTGTCTTTGTTTGTATGGGGTTGATATTGGGGGTAGTGGTTCGGGTGTTGAGATAAGGGTTAGAATTGGACTCGCTCGAGGGTGGGATTGGGGTTGTTTTGGGGAGGAGGGGTGGGTTTGGTATTTTGTTGTGTCTGCATGCAGACTGTGCAGTACCGATTAAGTTATACCTGGCAGGCCTTGAGTTCCTATGTCTGCACCGTGCAATCATCTCAAGGAGGCTCAGGGCTCAGCTCCTTTGTATTCCTTCCCAATTGGCATGATCCTTCTCTCCGTAACTCTCTCGCATAACTAGTCCATTGCACCACTGCAGCAGCAGATAGTTATAATCCATCGCATCAAATCCTATGTCCAAACATCCAAACATGCAGAACATACCCTCAACTAAATCCCCAGTACAGTACACCCTCATCCCTCCCTCCCCAAACCCCAAGCCCAGCCCATCACCACCACCCACAACCCACCCCGACGACCCAACAACCAGTGACACCATCACCATCTCAATCAAACACACCCCCCCACCGCCTCCAAAACCACCTCATCCACCAACACATCCCACACATACGAACTGCCCGGCGACGTACACGACCCCGTCACCGTCAACACATCCTCCGCCCGCCGCCCCCGCCGCTGATACGACCCCCGCACCGTCGTCCACCCCTCCCCCGAGGGCTCCAGCAGCTGCGACACAATGAGCCCCGTCGTCGCGTTCCCGCCGATATACGCGTCCACGAAACAGTACTCCACCCCCGACGAGGCGCCCGGGATCTGGATCTGCGCCCGGAAGTCGTACACCGTGCCGCGCTGGAGGCCCCTCACCGTCTGCGCGATCGAGTGCCCGCGGTTGCCGTAGTCCGTTTTGAGGTCGCTGGTCCCTCTCGGCTTTAGTGCTGTGCAGTAGGTACATGTGATAGGGATGGAGGGTAGGGAGGCAGGGGGCAGGTGGAAAAGGGCAGACCTACAGGTAATAATTCCCATCGTAGGCGGCGGTCGCGTTCGTGATGGTGGCGATGTTCACGTTGGGGACAGTGGTGAACCACGGTGATAGGGTGCCGGTTTCGAAGGAGGGGTTGGTGAGGAGGTTGCACGACATTTTCGTGTTGGGTTTGTTTTGTTGCTGGATGGATGTTGGGGGAGTGGAGTGTGCTGTGCTGTGCTGTGCTGTGTGTGCAGATGTTTTGGGGGATTGTGTTGCTGTCCTTGAGCTAGAGCAGAGCATGGTTCTTATACTGCTGTCGATATCAGAGTATGTTACGTTTGGTATAGTACAAGTAACTATAGGGTCCGTCCTTCAGCCTCCACACCACCAGACAAGACCCTGGTGGATTATTCTTCCCACCGGATGGAGCGGGAATCCGGCTGTCTGGGACGCCTGATTTTTCTATTTTCAGCGGTCAAGTCTGCCCTGAAATCGGTCTACTCCACTGTGTCCTCGTATCTTGGCTCGCTTTATTGGTCATGTTTGGGGGAGGCCGAGGGGGGCCAGGCGGCTTCGTCGCGGAGGTTTACTACAAATTGCTACCGTTCCATGGCGAAGCTTGGTTTTCCGTGCGGCGTGAGGAAACTTGACATTGTCTGATTCTTGGTTCTGGTGGGGAAGGGTCCCGATTGCTGATGCTTGATTAGTAGGTTGCATCGGCATCAGGTACATAGTACTATAGTTAGGACTTATGAATAGATGCAGTGGTGTGACCGCATTAATGCTCCATCGATGCGTACCCCCACTATACTTCGGGCTGAATGCACTATTAACCCTCCTGCCAAATCTACCAACTTAGCCACCATATTTGTAATCAGTGGCTTTCCTCGGGTCCATGATGCGCATTCTCACCAGGTAGTACTCATACTAGCTTACCTCTTGTTGATCAAATTAATAGAACTTGCTTTCAGATTAGTGATGCTAGCATTTGACGGTCGCTCACCTTGACCGAGCGAGCATATGATTATGGAAGGATCCTTCCCCTCCAGCTTCTATTTTTGTATTTTCCTATTTTTATATATTTTCTGTTAATTACATGGGCGACTGCAGTGAGCATCGCAATGACCCCCTGGTAGCGATAGTAAGTACATGCGAACCGACCTGCGGTTCTTCTCGGATGTCAAGCAAGGGTATTGTAAAAGCTATACACTGAAGTGAGTACCATCTGCCATCCGTCTGCCGACCATGCGAAATGTATCTAATGAAGCAAGGTTGCAAGTATCGAAACCAGCAAGCCACCGACCAGCGACCCGTGCCCTGCACCCGCGTCCAAGACAGCAGCAGCGCCTACGCTGGCCGAGGGGCTTGCAGATGCGCTTGACGATGCAACAGCGGCCGAAGAAGATGGAGTATTCGACGCAACAATCACGATCGACGCGGCAGTAGCGGTTGCCGAGCCCACCTGCTGCTGTTGCTGCGCAGCAGTCATGGTTGGGGCAGTCAAGATGACGCTGGGAATAGATGTCTTAGCGCTGCCTCCCGCGTCACTGACGACACTGCTGGCGAGCGCAATGCCAGTCTCGACCAAGGTGGGGTTGACTTGGATATTTGCCGCAGAGTCCGGCGTGTCCGGTGCGGTCACGATGACAGAGCCGGCATCATCGCGTTTGACGTTGATGGAATCGGAGCTGACACTCCAGGTGTCAGAGCCGCCGCCTGTGTGGACATGATTAGCTGTTGTGCAAGTGATAGATAAACTGGAGGAGACATACAAGTATCAGAGGGGAACCCAGCACAAGGCGTGTTGCATCGTGCAGCTGGCACCTCAGATTCAGAAGATGGCAATGCATCGCCGCAGTAGCATTTATTCCCGTCGTGCAGAGCGTATACAGTCTGATTGCGCTTGTCGCATGTTTGTTGGCAGTATCCGATGGACTGGAATTGATAGGATCCCGCGAGAACTAGCTCGCCGGGTTCACTATAGCAGCCCACAAAAGAAGAGGCAGACGAGAGGGAGGCGAGAGACAGGATCGCGAGGTTGCGGATGCTCGTCCGAATCATTTTGTCGGTTGATGGTGTAGAATCTGAACGAAGGCTGGGTAAAGAACGTGTATGCGATTTGGGAAGAAAACTCTGAATCAAAGAGTGGATATGCGCTTGACAGGAGACAGAAAGAAGAAACAGATGGCAAAAGAATGATATGGATGACAGGAAAGGTTCCAATTTTCATGGGCGGAGCCAACCTAAATATGATCCATCTTTAATATACCAGCGGATGGAGACGAACCAACCGACGATACACACTTTCCCATGGCGAACCAACCCCTTGGGGCAGCATGCAAAAATCGGCGGTTGAAACCCAGCAGAAATGCCGATCTGATGATCGCGCGTAAGAGCGCCTCTCTTCTGTCCGGATTCCATAATGGTTCGTTAAGCGATCGTCGGCTCCGCGCCGGCAGCGTTTCGGACGATCCCTTGCTGTGTTGAGCCAGCTAAGGCTGGTGTTTCAGCATTTGTCCTCTGACTCCTCTCAGAAAGGTTTGAACGAGTGATGTAGGGATCAACGCGCTATTGGTTTCTGAGACCACCACGCGATGACTAGCGATTGTCAGTTGGTTGGATTTGTGGGGAGGCGAACCCATGATGGATCCCAGAGTGGATTCTTATTAGCTGACCAGAATGGCACAAAATGGAGATGTTCCTGATCCCCGTTTCATCACTCAATGATCAACGCGACAGAATGTCGGTTCCATGGAAGCTTAAGCTGAAGCATGTTAGATGAGTCGTTGGGCAGGAAAACATCAAGGATTCAAAGGACCAAAAAGTTTCAAGTGAGATAAAGAAGTAAGTGTCCGTAAGTATCCGTAGGGTGGAAGGCCCCCGGGGAGAAGAAGGAGAAAAAGAAAGGAGGACGGCCAAGTCACGAGACCACTATCGTCCTTTACGTCCTTCCTGTCTGGGCATCTTTCTCTGACTTCAAGTTCCAGTTACGACTTACCAACCTTCCTTCGTCAATCGGCATATCATTCAACACTCATCATCACAACCTACCCACACCATGCAATCAACCCTTTTTTCTCCGTCAAGGCTGGCTGTTGCTCATGCAGATTCTAATGTTGTGCTACTCCTGTCGATCCTCACAAGCTTGACAGCGCCACAATGATGCACTGACATTTTAGCCTCGGCTTCCATCGTCATCATCGAAAGTTAAAAAAGCCATCGCTGCTGCCCTTCATGCTGTCAGTAGATGGCTTTGGTCTGGTTTGCAGACCAATAAGACCAAACTGCAACTCCTGCTTCACTAAGCACGGAGTCAACTGAAACAGCAGCTGATCCCACTATCCACTCAACCTGCAGCAAAAGTTCATCAGAGCTAACCTCAAAGTGGTTGTTTTGGCAAATCAACAAGAGACAATGACTAGCAATCTGCTTCCTGCGATGCGTGAGACTGGCAGTCCTCCTTATCGCCGATTTCAAGATTCTACCCCGCAGGAATAGTGGCTCTAAAGTACCTCACCGCCACTCATAATATGCTTTCGAATGCAACCAAACCTTCGGTTGCTATCGCTTTGCATGAAATGCTTCCTAGTCTCTGGAAAGACTTGCCCTCTCAGGCAATCCTGGCGCGGCCAAATCCGCCTTAGCCGATAGCCGACTTATCGCGCCGGCAGATACAATGAGGGGGCTGCCATCGACGCCTTGATTGCGCAACCCGGAGATAAGATAACTCAATCCATTGCGTTGTGGCTTAAGCTACTTCCCCTCATTTATAATGGATCCATAATCCCTGAAAAGGGAATTGTTCTTCTTCCCTGCGAGTGCTGCTCTCCTGTATCCGAACCAGTGCCCATGTATCAGCTACTACCTGTCATTGTAGGGCTGCTAGCCCCTTCCGTTGCGTCTCTCAGCGTTCCTTCGGCGCAACAGCTCCTCAATTCCTGGTCCTCCGGCGAAAGTAGCGATCTTTGCCCATTGGCACCTAAAATCGAAGCCCCGGATGACGGCTTCTTCTCATCGGTCAAGTTTGTTACCGACGATGCGGTGAAGTCACGACAGGTCGACCGTCTGTCGCGAGCAGTTCAAGTCCCAACCGCGATTGATGATTACATGAAAGACCCCTACGATGAGAAATTTGCTCCATTCCTTGACTTCCACGAGCTCTTGCAAACGCTGTTTCCTCTCCTGTAAGTGGGGATTCACCTCCGCCCACCAGTGTCTCCTAACAACCGTTCGCCGCAGCCACTCCCACGCTCGTGTAGATCACGTAAACCGCCTGGGACTAGTCTACACCCTCAATGGCACCGACGACAGCCTCAAGCCGATCCTCTTCCTGGCTCACCAGGATGTCGTGCCAATCAACGACGCTGCCGACTGGACCTACCCTCCATTTGCCGGTCACTTCGACGGCGAATGGCTCTGGGGCCGTGGTGCCAGCGACTGCAAGAACGTCCTGATCGGTCTTCTGTCGGCCGTGGAGGACCTGCTGTCCCAAGACTGGCAGCCCACACGCAGCGTTCTCTTTGCCTTTGGCTTCGACGAAGAGTCCCATGGCTTCCTCGGCGCCGGGAATATCTCGGATTTCCTGCAGAAGAAGTACGGTCCCGATAGCTTCGAATTCATCCTCGACGAAGGCGGCATGGGTCTGGAAACCTTCAGCGACAACAACGACAACAGCAAGCTAGCGAGCGCCAGCGACGACGATGATGGAGTCATCTACGCGCTCCCCGGCGTCGGCGAGAAGGGCAGCATCGACATCGTGCTCTCCCTCGCCGTACCCGGCGGCCACAGCTCCGTGCCCCCGCCTCACACGGGCATCGGCATCATCTCCGAGATCATCTTCTCGCTCGAGCGACAGGACCTCTTCATCCCCGTGCTGGACGAGCGGCACCCATCCCGACAGAAACTTGAGTGCCAGGTGCGCCACTCGCCCGCGCAGGTCGAGCCATGGCTGGCCTCGGCTCTCCGCTCCTCGGACCACGTCTCCCTGGCCGAGAAGCTGGCGGACTCCCGTGGCGACAAGTTCCGCTTCATCCTCCAGACCTCGCAGGCGGCCGACCTCGTCGCGGGCGGCGTCAAGTCCAACGCCCTCCCCGAGAAGATCTCCGCGCTGGTCAACTACCGCGTAGCCCTGCACCAGACCCCGCAGGAGATCCAGCGCCGCGCCGTCGACATCATCGGCCCGATC